GATGCAGCGCACCCTTCATGCGACTCGCCGAATATCTCACGGCGCTTCGCGCTTGGTGATGTGAGAGCCTGGTCCGGTGAGAACCCGGCGTGCTCCGTCCCGGCTTTGTAGGGATGCGAGGTCAATGGTCTAACGACTACGGCATGCACGACTATGAGTACACCCCCCCCCCCCTCCCCCCTATGCTTTTTGTGGGAATGCAAGTACCCCGTCCCTCCCCCTACAAAGCCAAATCCATATGTAAATGGGTAGTACGCGAAAATATTTGGTGAATCCCCGGGATCCCCAACTCGAAAACCGCACCAAAACAATCATTGCACATCAGAGAGACTTTCTCCGGGGAACGTGTGGTACGATGAAAGTCTCCTTCCGTGGGCCACAGAAAATATCAATCAAGGGATTCGAATGAAGGCCGTACTCCCTCTTGTTCGGCGGGTGTGGTATCCATTTGGCGTACGGGTGCGTTCGCCCAATCCGTGCAATCGGTTCCATGGTCATTCGGTCTTACGCTACTTCGCGACTACCGTGCTTTGATGATGCACTACTCCGCTGCTGCGTTTTCTCCTGGTCGTCGTGGGGGTTGGCCTTGGCAATGGAGTGACGTCGCACCCGCAAACTCCCCGGCCGGGTGATCGCTGCCTTAGATAGGGGTATCGCCGGCTGCAGCACATGCCATGGTGGCCGCAGCAGCCCCTGCGAGAGGGGTGAGCATCGAACTGTCCCTGCTCGATTCGCGGAAGACGTGGCGGCGAGACCAGGATGCGAGGATGTGTTCAAGGAAAATGGGGAGTACAGGGGTAAGGGGTCATGTGTACGTTTACCATTTCGTCTGAATGGTATACTTGGGCAAGAACCAAACAAACGGATGCTACCGGGTGTAGAGCATATGGCTTTCTCGAAAGGGTCGGAAAGCGAAAGTATGTGTGATGCGAGTCGCAAAATATTGCCGTACGACCAGTCCGGCCGGTAGACCTTGATCCTTCGAGTGTTCTCGCGAAACACTCGCGGAGCCAAGCCGCCGCACTATCGATGTCCGTGTCATGACAGCACAGCACATGCGGACAAGAGAAGCTGAAGTACCGGGTACGAAGCATCAGAACGTTTCGTTTAAACCTAGACGCTGCAATTAGAGTGCACCTGATGACCGCAACGTAAGATGCAATAGAACGAAGGAGCAGAGTGGGTGTTGTTTCTCGCAAGACTGGACATTAAGAGCGGATAGAAAAGCCCGCAGGGGTTTTGTGGCCACTCCTCTTGGTTCTACTCATACAACAAACACTACAGTCTACCTCATTAGCCTACGCTCCTACCGTACGCTGTGTTTCGTGAATGATTCTTTATGGGAAGTGGTGTTTTGATTTTGTTTTCTCTTCGACGACGTCTCCATAACTCAGGGATCCCCACGGACTCACGTGATGCTCAATCGCTGAACTTCATTTTGTCCCATGGGATGGGACATCCATATTGGGTTCTTCGAATACCGGGGGAACCCGAAAACAACAGAGGCCTTGCCGATGGGAAGCGGTCCAAACGCTTTCTGCAAGGTGCTTGCTCCCCTCCCCGTGATAGGCGGACGAAATAGCAAAGGTAGGTTTCATTAGGTCAAACGGTTCAGGGTGCATCGATCATGGAACCAACCTGCACGACATTACTCTTTATACCGTGTGGATGCGAGAGAATGGACGATTCAGTGATATCGCACGCACCGGTGATGGCGCACCCCTGTGCGAAAAAAAAGGGAGAACCAACGGATTATCGCACGGGGTTCGGTGATATCGCACGTTTGCGATATCACCGATACCGAGCCCCGAGTCGCTCCTGGGCACTAACTGCGCAAGAGGAGGTACTTTGCGGCATAGTCATTGGTGTTGTACCGTACGCATGGCGGCATCGCGTACCACATATTGAAACCCTGCAATATTTGACGAAAGCATCCTTACGGTATGGGTCGAAAGCACCCACGGGTCTACGGTACTGCTGCCTTAGGATTTATTGTTTTCCTATCAGTGCCGCACGGACAGGTGATATCGCACTCCCCATGCGATGAACAACCAAGAACCGAAAAATTATTTCGATTATTGCACAGGAACCAGTGATATCGCACGTCCGGCGATATCGCACGGGGGTGCGATAAAATGTCAAAAACCACATCATTTGAAAACCGATCGCACCCCCGTGCGTTCCCTCGCATCCATACGGTGCTCGCGTTTGCAAAGTTTCCCCGAGAAGTGCATCGAAGGAGTCCCTCTGCTGCCAGCGCTATCGGGGCTCAGGCAACTGAAGGTCCTTCCTGTACCAACTAAGGTCAAACTCGTCGGTCACGCAACCGGCTTTTTGTGCTTCGGCAGTACTTCCACAACCAACCTGCCTTGACACCAGCGAAGACTACAACCCGAATAACGTTGTCCGGAAGGTGAAAAGTCGTGTACGATGCATCTGGCAAATGGAAGTATATGCGCTGCTGTGCTGGATGCAACGAAGAGACTCCGAACAGGGCTCAGTAGCGATGAAAATTATATGCCTCGCTGGCGCCTCAGGCAGCGAGGTCATGGTGCAGTCAATCGCCCATCACAACTGATGAACTAACACAGTTTTTCACACTTGGTTCACTTTCTCTTGCCCTGGCGATCGCCCACTGTCTGTCCTGGTAGGCACGCTGCAGTAGAGTTAAAGCTACGGGTGAGGGTTGTATTTGTGTGGTTTTTCTGTTTGCGACGGTGGATGGAAAGCGAACACGACGATTGATTGCAGAACGTCCTGGATCTACCGGTGTTGAAGTGGTTTGATTTCGAAGATTCCTGAGTAGTTAGACATTTTTTCTCAGAAGAGAGGACGCGAGCGATGGCCCTGTCGAATGTCCACGGGCGTGCTCTGTAGCTTACAATTTCAGCTACATGCAATGACGATTTGGCCGGGTAACTAGCGCAGGGAAGTCGACACTCTGTCTTCTATGGTAGTTTTCAGGGTGAACGGTCGGAAGTTGCCTGTCCACACGCATTGAACGAGGAACTGCGGCGCATCCCATATGATTATTCTGGGGAAATATCTCGAACGGTTTGTTATGTACGGTGTAGTCAGTCAATGATTTCATGTTGATTTTCTACAGCTTTAGACTAGGCATCAGGGAGCTTGGAAAAGTGACTTCGTAGGAACAATCAACTCATTGAGACTCAACGTAGTGGAAGTCCCGAGTGACCCTCAAGAGGCTCTCACGCACACAAATGAACGTTTGCGTAGGAGTTTCATTGAATGAGTTTGTGATGTTCTACTTGTTTGTGTATCGGGAGTGTCCGTGGACAGGCCACGTAGCCACATCCTATCGTCTTCATTTGGGAACGGTGGGGACGTTCAGGCCTCTCGGAGTTGTCTGAATTGCCCATGGAAACGTTGGCGTACGTGCCCACCGATGTCCAACCTGGACTTTCCTGTGCGTGTGCCAGCATGGGTGGCAATAGAGAGACAGGAGCCCCAAGCGCACCGTTAGTTTGTCGCATCGCACAAGAAACGCAACGCGAATGCGAGCGTGTCTGGGCGTACAATCGCCCTGAGAGATGAGGCCCATAGGAGTTCCACAAACCGAATAGTCTACAACAAAAAGTCGAACTTTGTATTGCTGAACTTTCAGTGCTTGCAAGTCTCCAAGCTCCAGAGTTTGCATGCGAGCATTCATCCATTCGCAGTGTAGGCCTCACCACGGCCCCAAACACACATTCACCAGGGTCGAGCACCAATTCCCTTTGGCTGGGGATATTCGCTGCCGGTTCAAATCAGACCGTGGCAGATCACGTGAGCTCGCCGGTACGCGCTGGACTTTCGGGGTCGTTCATCATACAAAATTGCTTCCGAGAAAACGCCACAAACTGTAACCCGCAATCCACAAAGACTACCACAATATCTCACGCTGACCGCCTCAAAAATGCTTGGTGTTATTGATGTGATGCGAATCTTGCGAACGCTGGCGATGCAGACACGCAAGGAACTCGAGACGAAGGACACACTTGAATTGGGGTCCTAATCAAATAAATGACACGGAGCACAGGTGATAATAATGCCATCAAATTTTTCGAAATTCCTCCATTATCCAGGGGAACAACCACCACCCAGTGTGAACTCTGATTGCGGTTGGGAGTCTTTGCAAGGCGCCGGTATGAGCTTAACATCGGGAACGTACTCAACACATGAATAAAACACAATATACGGTAAAAGGGGGGGGGGAAAGTGGTTTCCCCGCATTCGCAGGCGTCCTCCACTGCCATTCAGCTCCAACGCCTCATAACGAGCACCCTCTCTCAACAGGACGATTAACAAGACACAAGCAGCAGAGGTGATCACACCACCCACAGCGCCCCCTGATCTTCCGTATATGAACAAGGACATATCTACAACGCGACAGCTTGCGTGAAACTCGAAGGATTGAACGGGAGAACGGACGACTACATATGAACATAATACTCCGAGTAAAGCGCAGAAGAATTGCTGAAGACCTGTTCACGCCGAGTCAGCTCCGCGCCCATTTCTACACCACATCGCCCCGCGCACACCGTGCCGACCGCACGCTTTTGCCACGCACAACACCTTCCAAAAGCACATCATGCATACGTGTCCCCCGACGTTAGACGGGCGTTAGATAAGGGCATTCCTGCTGGAGAACGTCCTCGAAAAGACAACACGGCAACACCTGGCGATGAAACTTACATCTGACCGCCACCCCGTGCGAGAATATCCCGACACAACCCTTCGTGGCTGGTCCATGCCATGGTCTAGGGACACCCTGTAAAACGAAACGCCCCCTTACCCTATCTATCGCGAGGGGGAGAACGACGACCATCGCCGCAGCATTGGCCGTGACGAGTCAGTACAGTACGTTCTCCTGGTGCTCAACACCGTTACGCCGCCGTTGCCGCCACCGGTGCCGCTGCCGTACTCTCCCGACGACGACGGTGACTGAGACACACCTCCGGTGATCCTTTCGTCGCTTCGGAAAACCCACTCGTGGACGATCTTCCTCACCAACCGGCCGGCCACGCGAGCCGGGACCGGAAAGGCTTCGATCAGTGCCTTCATTTCGGTCACCGTGTTAAGCCGGATACGCGAGCGGAGACGCGGTTCTCATGACTTAGGTTTGCTGTAGGTAAATAGGTGGTAGTCGAGCCGGCTTCTTGAGCAGGTGCGTTGAACATCTTGGCGTGCTCAGGTAGGTCGATGGTGGGATTGCGGCCAGCAGCGGCAAAAGTAAATCGCTAGTAGACGTGCACAAGGGTGCACAACCGCTGCCAAGAGCTGAATTGCACGACTGGTAAACCAGAACACCAACGCAAAGGGTAGCAAACAAACTTCGGCTTAGCCCATTGTCCAGAGCCACGAGCCCGTCTGAGTCTTCGCTCGGGATTCAGCACAACGGTATATCGCTGTCTCACTCTCCTTTTCGGTATCGGCGTGCGGAATACAAATCGTTCCTACTGGCTGAGTATGGAAGATCGCTCTGGTGGACTGGGCCCGAAACGATTTTTTAATTGCGGTGCAATATAATGTACCAACTTCATTTTCTTGCAACTTCCACCGGACTGGCAGAACACCACCTTTCGAACAACAACAATCATTCCCTCCGTTGTCGATGGACGCCAGGGTGCGTTTCGGACTTCTTCTCCTGAGGTTGAACAGGCTCGTGCTTCCTCTGACACCGGCGGTGACTGGACTTGAGCGACACCAAACGCTTGGCAGCAACCACGACCAGCCGCCGCCTTTTCGAGAACTTGGGGTTCGAGGCAATCGCTGCATGTCACGCGAACCCCCCCCTCCGATCGGTCCGACCGGGATTGACAGAACACACCATATTTGAAAAACAATTGCATGCCCGAGGATTGCCCCATTGTCAACTTCGCTGCCGTGAAAATCAGACACGGCGGTTAATGACGTCTTCCAGGGTCTGGTGAATGCCACCTTCGAACAAGGCCCTCCTCCCTCGTCTCCCGACCCTGTCATATCCCACCCACCGTTATGTACCGCGGGCAGCTGCCTTCCCAGTATCGTCGAGCTCTCTGGCAGCCCCCGGACCATCACCACGGGCCGCCCATCCACCCCACACACCCCGGTAGAGCCCTGCAGGAACATCCTGAGCGACGGACGCCTAGGCCCGTCCTGAGGCGGCGTGTTTCTCCGTCCCGCCAGACGCCATCGGATGTAGGCGGTGGCCCAGCGTATTCCTGTTTTCAACACCTGCCGTCGACGAAGAAGCGGGCTCATTCATGATGCGTACCCTAACGTCACTTGTACATCAGGTTTTCAGCCCTCGCGTGGAAATTACCACGTATCTCAACAAGATAAGGGGACGAAAGTGATCCCGACGTGGGCGCCGTAAACATGGCATTATGGCGTGAGGAGGGGGTTACAGGTTCTGTATGGATGTGCGTGAGGGCGTAGCCATGGATAAACACGTCTTCGCAATATATCAAGGGGGGTATGTCTTCTGTGTCCTCCCGAACTGCAACCAGGACACGAGGTACTCGGCCACGTTGGGTGTTTTCTACTACGAAGTAGTTTGCATTTTCGTTCGTCACGTTCATTCAGCATATTCCGCGCCCACTTTTCTTTACGCCATCCTGTCATGCCTCCCTCGCGCAGCATCTCCATTTGGTAGGAAACCCAGAAGAGACCGTCCGCGTTGAACGTCGAATCATCTGTGGTGGGCTCCACAGGTCATTCCGTCCGCAGAGCTTACGAGCTCGCGTTTTCCCACACTGTATATCTTCGCACCCGCGGTTTTTCACCTACCTCAGACGAGTGAGGCAATCATAGAAAAATCTGCTAGCTTAGGGCTAGCGGTACCACTCTCCTCCCTTCAAACATCCTGAGGAGGGTACTCCCGGCGAGGGGAGTTGGCGTCGCTGAAAAAAACAGCAGACACGTATCACACGCACGAAACTGAGGTTAGGATCTGCTCCGGTTGTCGAGCCGTTTGCCGTGAGTGCAGCACCCACCAAGACATGCCGACGAAGGCAATGAACGACGGGAGTATGGTGTCCTCGCCGCGCATGCCACTCACAACTCCTCGGTAGGCCTTGACAACAAAGACAGCGAGCGCGAGCGACGGGGACATTATTCGTTATTCGGCTGAAAGGCAGGGGGGTGAGAGGTTACGACAGAACGCACCTTCTCCTCGCGTGTGTGTTGGGGGGGGGTCATAAGGTTGGGCGGAGACCCCACAAGACGAACAATTCCCGGCTTCGTGAGGGCGCGAGCACAGGTTCTTTGAGGCTCATTGCGTTCGGGTGTGCTGCAGCATAGGTGTTTTCGGTATAGTCTCCGGCTTAGTCCTCGGTTCCGGGCAGGGCGATCTACATCGTTTACTCCGGCTTTTCGCAGTGTAGTGCTACTTTGCATGGGCGGGGTCGGACGACTGCTATCGAGACATTGTTTTTGGTTCTTCTTCTCGGTACCGCGGAACTCCAATGCTTGCCCTCAAGAATACGGAAGAGGGCGTCCCGGATCGGCGACAGATGGATCCATCACTTTTGACGTCCGACAACTATGCACCATTCAGTGCTTCCAAACTGCCATGAAACTTCATGAACCCATGCTACCACTACATACCACAACCTGGCGGTAGTAACACCAGCGGTAGTGCCATCACATACCGAAGCCGCAAGTAAGGTCGTTTTCAGCAAAAACAACTTGCGAATCATGCGGAAGAGCAACTCTTAGCCAACAACTACAGCAGCAAAAGACAAAAATATTTAAAACACCAGCAACAATACCAACAACAACAACTGTACAAAGCACCCTACCTCGAGAAGGAAGGCGATCACCACGTTCAGCAGCAACACCACGCCCAGGACCTGGTACAGCACCACCACCGGCCCGACCGTGGGCTACGCATCCAAGATTTGCGGGTATAAATTATCGGACTCCCCGGGGGAGATGCGGATCACGCTCCGCCACGCATCCTCCAGGGTGGAAATCTCTTTCGTGCTGGACCCGACGAGAAGGAATGTGAGGGCGGCAAACGCGAGGACTACCTGGGGAAACAGAGGGAAAATAAATCAGGTGCCATGGCGGTCGCTTTGTGGATTATTCTCTCATACAGGTATCTTCGCGGGAGGTGTATGCACATGTAGTTCGTCCCCTCGCCGAAACATTGACATCAGCTGGTGCTTTGGTCGGTGAATTTCCGACACGCCCTTCGACACGCTCGAAGGTCGGGTCGTAAACGGCCGACCGCATGCCGAAACTAAATCGTTGTTTGCGCGGTGGACACGGAGAGGAGGGAGAAACCTGCTGAGCGTGTTGATGGCAATAACACCATGCCGGAAACAAAAGCAATGGATTAGTAGACTTGAGTCCCATGAAACGCTAAGGTACATTTCAATACTGTGTGATTGCATTCGTCTGTGTGGGTATTTCAATACAAGCAACGGCTTTCAATAGGAAAAACTTTCTGTCTTCACCTCGGCCCACAAAGAAAATGGATTGAAACGCGACCACACCGAGAGGAGAACTATTATACTACCACTGACTACTACGTACAGCGCACCACCATCGGCGTCGTCAGTACTACCACCAGCACCAGTACCCCAAGACACCTCTTGTCCGGCAACTGTGTCAGCCTTTCCAGGAAAAACACGAACAGGAACTGGGTGAGATGGGTGCTCGCTCTGCTCAGGGTGTCGGGGACGATGCTCATGCGCTTGTGGAACGTGAACATCTGCGTTGAGCGGAGACGCGTGGTGCAGCCAAACACAGGAAGAAGGACGGGGTTGCCGAAGGCGGAACCAACCATGTCACGTGTCAGCAGGAGCCGACAAACTGATAAAGCAGAGCAGAGCCGAGAATCACGCAACGTTTGGGGTCCAAAGTGAGCAACGGAAAGAGAAGATTTGCCCTTGAAATACGCCGTCCTCGCACAGAGCACACCTGACAAGAAGTATCACCGTTACCTCAAGCTTATCTCTTGACCACTTGCCATGAGCGTCAAGAGAAAAGCACGCAGTTAAGAATTTAGGCACCCAGCTGGGAAAAGCACGCACAGCAACAAACACATCACACACGACCTCCGCAAAGCCCCATCACGGGCGCCGCCATCGTGTGTGACCACCGTACGTACCTAGTTCACTCAAGAGGCGTTACATGAATTGGACTTTCGTCTTGCCGAATTTTTCCCAAGCGCCCAGGCATCGGCGGTTTCACATTCCCTTGTATGTTTCTCCGCTCACGGTTTCGAGAGCAAGCGTTCCAACTATCCAACCAGTGAATACCGACGTGTTTCACCATATCACTACAAACACGTACACCTTCGGTAAAACTCTATTTTGTCGTATTTCGGATCGACCTCTTACCTGGAATATCCAGGGGTAGAGTCCGGCCAAGGTTGTGAGGAGAAAAATGATGTAGAGTGACCACGAGAACAGCTCCGCTTCTTGGAGAGCCAGAATCGGCCCAGTTAACTGCGTCGATCGTGGTCATTACATTCGACGTACCGAGCGGACAAGCAGCAAAACGATAGGATTTGGGGTTCAAGGGCGATCGATCGGTCTCTGAGCACAAAAACGGTTTCGATGCAACCAAAGCATCGTCGGTTGCGCGCGCACTGAATCCTAGGCGGTTAGCTGCTCTACTTGCCAGTTGGACAGCTGTGGGCAATTTCACGGACTCTGCCCTTCGGGCCATTCTTTACGACACAGTATGCACGCGCAGATAGCATTCACTGCCATCCTTCGATGATGACCTACGATCGCCGGTAACCTTCGACTTTGACACTTTTTTGCGGATACGTTCAATCAATGGCGGAGGACAGAGAGATCGATGACTCAGTACGTTGAACGAGGTTACACACTGCACAGACCAATAGAGAGAGCTGAATATGCTTGTGGTTTCTGAGAGGACATCGGCCTCTTTCGCCCAAGCACCCCAAAGCTAGGCCGCATTGTTCCAAAAAAACATGAAGCCCACGCCTTGCCGGGGTTAAAAAACTTTGCGATTGCTCAAAAGGTTGCTCCATCGAGAATCGCGGCGCCGGCGAATATGCGTTCGAAAAATTCCAACGTACCGCGCCCAGAACCGAGTCCGCTTCGGAGGAGGTGTCTTGGAGAACCACATCGAACGCTATGACCTTTCCCAACGATGCCCAGCCCTACCCAAAGAGATAGTGAGGATGTGTGGCGAGGTGCAAATATGGCAAGGGTGTGAGGCAATTCCGGGGTAAACGTGATTTAAAAGTCGAAAAGGCTGAACGAGCAAGGACCCATGGCCATGATGTACGCTACACGGGGCACAGCAGCGGTGCCCAAGGAGATGGATACCATGAAACTGCTCTTACCCATGCGGCAAGAAAAATCGGGTCAGAAGCAAGAGTAAACACGAAGCCAAGTATCACCACAGGCGACAACAGTGTTGCGCTTGCAATAACGAAGCAACGGGAGGCCTGCCTGCCTGCCTGCCTGCCTGCCTGCCTGCCTCACAACTCACCAGCCACATCTGAACGTTGAGGATGGTCAGACTGAAAAACGTGAAGCAGCAGCAGCAGTGACATTTGTTTCCTGCAGACCCAAAACGGAGAGGACAGAACAGGGGTTTGCAGAGCTTGAGGTGCTGGAACAAGCCCGGCGGGGGAGCCGGACTACTAACGGTCAAATGCCCCGCATCGCGTGCTGTTCACCATGCGAGGACAAAGTTGAATCTGGATGGACAAACAACGCGGTCACGGTAAAGCTTTCGCCGCTTGCGTGCCGTGCAATATGGGGATAACTGCATCTGGTGGTGATCCAACGGAACAACAACAAGGGATCGCTGTGTGTCGATAGCTCGTAGGCGCGTCAACCGCTGTTGACCCCAACGCGGCCCAAAGCCAAGACTGCTGGAGCCTGCCACCGACCCAGCTACCACCGTGCCAAAGAACAGAAGCCAAAACTCACGCCTGGCCTTGGCGCGCCTGGCTCGATACCACTTCTTCGTGTCGTGCCGGATCATGGCCAGTGTCATGCACACGAAGATCAACCCCAGGATCCACCGGATCCTGCGCGTACGCGTACGTACACGGTGTGCGCGAGAGAGAGAGAGATGGGCGAGCATGGTAGACAGAGGGAGCGAGGAAGAAACCGAAAGGGAGACGGAGAGGGAAACATCTTTGTGTTTTCATTCACATGGTAGCGTGGGAAAAGAGACGATGCATGACAGTGAATATGAGTGAGCGACAACGAGCGAGAGAATGGGGGAGAGAATGAGAGTGGCAAGTGAAATCGCGCGAGGGGGGGCGCAGAGATTTCACGGCCCGGGTTACACGGGACGTGGAATACGGGCCGCGGTCGGATGTTCATTCGTGAACCCGAGGCAAGACTCAAGCCTCACCAAGGAGTTCACGCAGCCAGTGACAGAAAGCTTTATGTGAGGGACTGAGTGAACCCGCTGCTGCTGCTGTTGCTCCAGCTCCCGCTGTTGAAGTTTCTACTACCGCCGCTGCTACTTCCTCTGCCTCCACTGTCGAATCTGCGTTTAATGTTGCACCTGTCATTCCCTTGCCCTGCTTTCCCGTCGGAATGTAAGCCGTCACGAGCTCGTGCGCCTCTACTTCACCCCCTGCGGAGGTAATAAACAACGAGAGACCATAAGACTGAAAAAAACAGATGACAGGGGGGCTCTGGTGATGTTCATAGTCATGTGTAGTATTGTGTTTTTGTGTCGTCGCTGTGTTTGCTGCTGATGATGCTGCTGCTGCTGCAGTTGCTACTGTTGATGTTCGTTGTTGTGTCGTGTTTCCACTTGAACACTGCTCCGACGTCTGTACGCTTGTGTTCCCCCCAAGACTACTCTCGCGAATACGTTCAATCCGTTCCGTTCAGCCCGGTAAAAACGAGATCTATATACATCACGGAAAATATTCTCAATGTTAACCAGCTAAAGGCGAGGAAACACAATTCTCGAAGACGAGTACATGATCTCTGGCGTAATTTAATGGTTCCAAGGGATCTTGTGCGACTAGTAGCAGAATGGAATCCAGCACAAGGAAGCAATGACGGTGCTTCCTGGCAATTTCGGACAATAACACAGACAAAACTCAACCTACGAACAATTTCGAAGCGACCATGCTTTGGTGAGTCGTCCACGCCCACGTTGATACTACGCAAACCATCAACGAAAGCAAACGTCGGTACTTTTCGACGCGAAACTCGTGAGATAGAACGCGAACCGATTTCGCCATCTTCACTTGCTACAGCACACTACCTCTGTACACCGGTAACAACGAGAAGTAGCACTACGGTTCCGTATCCGAGAGGCACCAACGCCGAACGATGCATCTCCAACGCCCTATTGACGCTTACTCGGCGTAGGCGCTCCTGCCAGCGGGTAAAAAAAACAACTTGGTTGTCAAGGCCAAGGCCGTGTGCGATGTTGATAGGGACAGAGACAATAAATGGCCTCCAAGTGTTCAACCGAAACACGCACCGGGGTGGAAGTCTTGGACATGGAGCTGGAGCAACGGCAACCAGTATTCTAGGGTATTGAACTCTAACCCGATGTTGAGGGAACAAAGGCAAACATTACCCATAACCTCGTTGACAAGAATCCGCTGGCCCACGATGGATCTGATCCAGTGGTAAATGATACCAGAGCGAAGATACGCCGTACCACACTAACCTGAAATCCCCTTGACGCGATCGAAAAGGTACCCGACATTGATGGGACCATGAGCAAAGAGGAGCCACTACCGTAAAACCAAACAACAACGCGAGAAAGTGAATCCGGTATTGACAGAACCAACCCATACGGGAACCTCGAGACAAAGCCCAAAATGCTCATTGCGCACGTGAACCCGGTTATGACAGTATCTGAGCAAGTAGTATAAGAGCAAAGATACCTCGTTGTACAAAGAAAGACCCGTATCCAACCAGCGCCGTCGAAAATGGGCCGAATTTGACAGACCAAGAGCAAGAAGACCTCATTACCAGTCTAACCAAATTCCGCTCAACCCGATGGATCTTAACCGATTGATGGAGCAGAGACAAGCCAAACCACAATCTAATTCAATCAAATCCGCTCGTGATCGAAAGTGAAGCCGAGGTTGATGGAGCCGAAGGCCGACCCCTGGTTTCCGTTGTAGGTCACGAGCTGAACATTCACGGAGCGAACCTCATGCCGAGGAATCACGTCCAGATCTTCCATCACCAAGAGGGTGCAGTACCCGAAGTTGAGCTGTCATGGGTTGCGGGAACCATGGTGCGCTTGTATGTGCGGTTAAGCCGATCGTGCATCAACATGGCAAGGTAAGCAGGAGTCGGGGGATATCTCCGGCAGTCGGGCATCACATGGCGTTCCATCTCTTGTAGACGAGTGAGGCAAGAGGGTGACATATTCAGAAAGACACACACAGACATTTCACAGCTTCAATGAGACCCGTCTCAAAGGCCCATTACTGCCTGTGCACGTGGTGGTCGGTGCAAACCTGGGAAGGCCCGATTTCGTCGGCTGGAATGGGCATCGGGCTGGCATCAAAGACACACCGTCGCGTCTGTTCGAGCCAGCCGAAAAACAACCGTTGTTCATAGCGGCGGCGCGTACCCCACCCCCCCCTAGGAAATGTGGAAGCCTCCTGTATGTTCCTATTTGCTTCGGTAGTTTCGAGCACACAGGACCCTATGCAGAGCGTGAAACGAAACAAACGATGTTTGACAGCCAGAGTCGCAAAGGCCGTGGGCGTACCTCACAAGCCGGCATGGGACAAGAGGCGTAATATTCTCCACCTCAATAGCAGTCTCGGCGACAATCTGAGATGGCGGTGTTGTTATCTTCACAGTAAACGCCTAAGCCTCATCTGTCTGTACTGATCCATTTTATGACGCGGTCGATTCCCATGGTCACAGGCAACCTTCCCCAAAAACGTGTACCAAAAACAAATGGGCCCGAAGGCTCCGCAAAACAAACAAGTCAGAGACACTTATTGTAGAGCCCTCCGCTCCCCTCTACGCGCTATGTGAGAAAAAAATGAAGCTGGAAGTCAGGATCACGGCGGACCGGAGAGGTACATCCCCTGGTTCAATCTCGGTTACGAACCTCCGCTGTAGACCATTTGCTCGCTCGGACTGAAGGATACCCATGGCTGTGGCGGGAATAGGTGGTCTTGTTGGTACCCTCGCCGGAAAGACAGATATCGCAGTAGTCGCCGGACGAGGACGAAGAGCACTCATCGCTCCATAGTCGATTTCTGCGGGTGAATGTCACCTACAGTTCGGTAGGGGGGAGGGCACGTAGTGGCTATAACACGAGTGGCAATAACAAGTTGCGACAAGAGCGGAGCTCCAGAGCACGTGAAAAGACGGAAAAACAGCAGCGGCCACCCAGCGAAGGTGGCGGCAGCGTTATGTGTTCATAAGCTCCTGGTATGTCAGGTCGCGGTGTGACTCAACCCACCCAACAACGATCCATCCGTCAAGATCTATCATCATATGCCGCGCAACGCACTCACCAGCATCCCGCCGATTGCTTGGTTTCTGTCACCCGCGTAGCCGTTACCGTCGTAACTAACCTGTCGAACAACAGCGTCACTAGCAAGCGAAAGCACGGCATGAGCTAGGAAAAAGGGCGGGCGTTGGGCCCACCGGTCAGTCCCGTTTACGCCGAAATTTTTGACATGTTAGGTTGGAGCAATCCGGCATGCCACCAAAAAATGAAGCGACGGCTAAACGGCGGGGGGACACCCAAGACGTCCGGGTCAAGGAAACTCGCAGCAAAGCGGAGCGATCACCGACATCAGCCACCAACAAGCAACCGAGAGCAAGTACGATTGTTTTTTGCGCCCTCTGGACTGAGCGACACCACAGACGGCTATGGAAAGCGCACTGCATTTAGGCTATGAGGCACATGCACCATCCACGAAAAATAACAGCCTTAGTTCGCCTGAAAGCTTTTCATTCTAACAGGATTCGGAGACGGTTTACCTTCCGAGCTAGCTCTTTTTCTGTCGATGCGAACTCGCGATGTGTTCAAACGTCATGGGCTACTGATCGACCAACTTCCACCAGGACGGATCGGTTGGGATCTCTGCGACACCGACAGTAATAAGGGTAATTCTTTAAGGAGTGACGGAGACGAAGGAAAGGGAAAGGGAAGAAAGGAGGACGAAGACGACAATGGAGGAGGAAAACATGGAGGAGTGGAAGGGAGCAAAGGGTTTGAGCCAGATGACCTTCTCCAAAACATTAACGTAGGGCTAGGGAAGAACTGCCCAGAGATTGTTGGCAAAATGAGGATCAGAATGATGGTGGCGAAAACAAGGAGGATAATGGTGAAAGTACTACTAAACGAACTAGAGTACAAGGTGCTAGCCTTGGTAGACGCATCCAGTTTTCTTCTGTTGCTGCTGTTTCTGTCTTTGATCCGAAGGATACTTTAGCCTCCCCCATGCTGCCCCCTCACAGGGTCCCAGTTCATGGCAGCTATAAGTGTTTTGTGTTTTCAACTGTACTAAGACTGGCGTCTTTTCATTGGTCAGCCGGTTAGCGCGGTCGATAAAATAAAAACACAACCACAGGCGGAGTGAGGTTTGTGGCGAGAGCGCGCACAGTAACTACAGCAGTACCTCAGTGGGCAATTGGCACCGGCAGCACTAGACATGTGGCGTTGGTTCACCTACGAGGAAGAATACCCGGGAGCAGAGTCGAAACATGATTCAAACCACGTAGTCGCACGCCAACCCAGCAGCAGCAGCAGAGGGCGGCTTTCCGCTAAATCCCCGCATAGCGGCAGTAATGATGGCACCGAGGGCGACTCAGACGTGGCACCGACGCTCGACACCTGGATCCGTCAGTGACTGCTGCAATATTGGCCCAGGTAGGCGACATAAAGCATGTATGGGAACTGTAGCTCGTACAATGGGGACTACTGCAGCACATCATGACAGTAGGCGGAAGATATTCATGCTGTTTCAGCGTAACCCTCGCATCAACCCGGCATATCGCATTCGGGAGGGCCGACGAAGCGGGCTAGACTACATACACACGCCCGTTTACAGCAGCATGTGTGTTATTGTGGCACAGACCTGCTTACTGGAGGCATGGGTGACTATGTGCGCCAGAGTTCGGGTGGGCCGGCCGCCCTTGTCGTGAAAATCAACCTCCTGCACATCCGAACTTGAAACCCCTCTCCCACTGGTCGTCAACCCGTGTGACTCTACCCCAAACTGGTCCCGAGTTTTTTGCTTCCGCCAATGTCTGCCATTTCTAAGCACCAGCGTATTCCTCCGAGAATGTTGAAACGATATGATGGTGGGCGTATGCGGATCCCATCTCATTCCGTGTGTGGGTGTTCCTTCTTACCGCCAACCTCAAAACGGAACGGAAATAGTTTCGAGACCCCACCACGACGGTAATGCCGCAACTTCGGGTCTGAGGCAGGAGCACCACACCAAACGCGCGTGAATGCCACAACGCAAACGTGACCGCGCGCGTGCGTGCATTTTTACACATTCCCCCTCTCCCCCCGAAACGAAAACCAGGCTGCGTTTCGAGGCTACCACCTCCGTGAGCGCCTACGCCGCCTTCCCGCGAGGGAGGTGGAGAAGCACATATTGGGCTTGCACAACAACGCTAGCGGCTTCCGGCGGGTGGGCCTCTTCTTGCTGTTTTCCGGGCTGTACTTCACGTTGGTATTCTATGTGGCTTTCCAGCCCTCTGTGCAGCAGGCGCTGAGGGATCATGTTGCCGCAGTGAGTCTCGGGGAGGGGGGGCTGGGGGCGGGGCAGCCGTGGCAATCGTTCTAGTATTACATTCACGAAGAGGCGTGCCTCGCCCGTTTGAAACCCTGATTGGACGTACAGCAGTATGCAACCCGATAAGAGCCAACTTGAATGGTGGAACGATTGTGGCATCAATATCTATTGTAACACTCTCAACATGCACGTGAACCCGATACATCGAATAGTGGCACTGACCTGAATAGTGGAAAATCATCCTCTTGCCCCTACATGCCACTATATCGGGCTGCTAACTTCTGCAATAGTTTGTAGCCGGGTTTACTTCCCCGCAGCATAACGGCTGGTGGAGGACATGCACCCTCGTGGAGTACGCTCGAAGGGTCGTTGTGCGCAGAGCAAGGACGATGATGGTGGTCGTATGTACTTTTTTCTTGGAAGTTATGAAGCGAGAATCTTGATAAGCTTGCTGTTTAGCACCGACAGCTCCTTCCTGTGGTGCCTGCTTGCCCCCGGCAGACCAGGTTACGTACGGTCCGGATCTGGACAAGACCCATCATGACGTCGTGTCCCTCGCGAATGTTCACGACTGGATTCAGGTAGGCGACAAACGACGGCGGGGGGGGTTGTTTCGTCCATTCGGCCGACAAGTGTGTGTGCGCTTTCGCAAAGATAGCCTACAGCAGTCCACAATGTTGTTGGGCGCAGCGGTATTCGTATCTTTTGCAAGGCATGGCCGAAAATGATCCAGGCGAGCCAGTGCGACGACCTCGAACTAGACTGGGGGCACACGGAGAGCTTCGGTCTTCATTTTTTCGGCCTGCAGGAGCGTGATGTGTTCATTGTCGACGCGTACGCGCCTGGTGTGCACGCGCCCGTGTTGATTGCCGTTTGCGATTCATTTTGTTCCCGCGCATCATTCTTGCGGACAGTTGGAGCGAGGAGGAACGCCTTTACGCGCACGGGCGGGAACCAGGCCTAGGGTGTAGCGCGTTTGGCAGCAAGCTTCATACATGGGTCATCATTGTTCTTTGGTCGTCGAAATTCCCCCGGCAAAAAGCTTCGGGCGAAAGCAACGATGAGTCGATTGGTGCCTTTGCCAAGACCACCATTCGTTGAAAAAGCAGCAGTATGGAGGGTAGATCTAGACGGGTTGAAAGTTCCCGCATAGTGATTTGCCTTACTTGCAGCTCGATCTTCGAGGGCGGATCCTGGCGTTTGGATCAACTTGTCGATGCTTCGACGTGCAGATGGGTTGACGATTGTTACGTCTATAAGAATGGACTTGGTGCAGAGTTCCTCTTCCTTCTCTCCTGCGTGTAATCCTGGGGTGATTACCAAATCCATCTTGTATAGTCCCTTTGCCCTACCAGTGCCTGTGCTAGAAGGGGAAGAATCCTCAACGGCGATGGGCATATGGCACTGTCTTGAGGACTACTCGAACCATCCTGTTTTGGAGGAAGGTTGAGGCGCCGGTCTTGGTGCAGACGAGGGAGTGGGCTCGGCTCAAGCGGTCCTTGCATGGTAACAATGCACCTGCACCACAAAGTTTGCCTGTGTTGCAGTCTGCTCGATCGTGACTCCCCAGTACACGACCGATTGACTCTCGATATAGATCAGGCAGCATTCTTTCATCTGCTGACAACCCTTGCGTTGTCAACCACGACAAAACTCCCTTGCCTTTCGCTTCCTCCAAGCGGATCAATGCTCTCTTCTTTGACGTTTCCTCGCCTGCTACCTTCTGCGAGTCTGTCTCCACCATATGGCGCACTGCTGCATGACAAGGTTTCGGAAGGAGAGCTTGGGCTCCAAAGACTAGGTAGTGTTGACCAAATTCGTTTCGGCTGTAGGTAGACGGTGGTTGATGTTCTACGTCAGGGTTTCCATCTTCACTGGGTTGTCCCGCCTTCCCTGCTTCCAACAGGTAAACTCCTCTGAGGGCGTGAGTTAAATCATCACTTGTGGCAAGTTTAGCCAATGACTGCCCAACAGCTTTTTCAAGCTTATCTTTGGTGATGATCTCCTCTAGCTTCTTGAGCGCGTCAATCAGAGCCAATCCTGTCGGTAGCTGGGCAAGCCGGGGCAGACATTGCCCAACTTTGTATCCTGTCGATGCTTGCATTGACTTGGAGAACACCAGTGCTTGCCCACACAAGCCGATTCTCGAATGAAAACATTTCTCGTGATTCCTAGTCCTCCTTCACGCATGGGTAGGTGCACCTGTGCCCGAGCTGTCCCTTTGAAGAAATCTACCTCCTCGCTCTTCGTCGGGTCTGCGCGTACTTCTTTGACCGTTGGTATTCTCATGCTGTCGGCCATCTTGCCAAGGACGATCTTACTCATTGCCCACATCATCATNCCGTACTTCTTTGTCCGTTGGTATTCTCACTTTGTCGGCCATTTTGCCGAGGACGATCTTACTCTTTGCCCACATCATCATGTTCTCATGTTTTCTTGCGGCAGAGATAGTGATCGACGGTGCTATCGACCTCAGCAGATGGAACAAACGTGGCACACCAGATGAACGCAGCAGTTGATAGCTGGCTTGGGGGTCGTCGAGCGTTACTGGGCGGAGAATCAACTCCGCCGGGTCACCACCGGGTAATTTGGAAACGAAATTCCTCTGGAACTCTTCTGTCCCTACTGGGATCCCGACTACTGGCATGCCGCCTTCAGCAACTGACAGACCAATTTTCGTCAGTTGTTGCTGTTCGTTTGTCAAAGGGGACATGCAAAGACCTTCCTGGAAAAACACTTTGGATTTCGGGAGACTGAGCTCAATCCCTTTTGGGAGAGACGTTCCTGAATCGAATTCGTCACAGCAGTGGATATGGCCTGCACGTTCCTAGCCAAACCTGGTGGAAGATGCGCGTGGAGGTCGTCGACGTATCCGATGAGTTTGACTCCTGGCACTGGTGGCTTGTTGTTGAACTCTTTCATGATATCAAGAAGTCCTACACAGAAGCCAAACCCTCCCAAATTGCAGCCTTGTTGAACTCCGCGCTGTGAAAGAACAACCTCGATCGAACCATCTTCCATTTTGAACAGAAGTTTCGCCNTTCCCACGTACAGCCTTGTTGATTGAACTTCGCGCTGTGAAAGAACAACCTCGATCGAACCATCTTCCGTTTTGAACAAGTTTCGCCTTGGTTCGAGCGTAGATGTGCCCGAAGTACTTCGCCAAGTGTGGCATATGAGTGGCCACTGCTGGCAAGGTGGAAGATCTGCGCATGCTGTTGCAAGCATTTTTCCCATCAAAGGAGAGAATGGTGCTGCCTTGCTGGTGGCTGAGGGCTGCTGTGGAAGCCACTACACGTATCTCAACTCCTCCTGGAACATCACCTCCGAACTGGTTTGCTGCTTGGAAGATGTTGGTAATCCCTCCCGTATATTGGCGGCAGAAGCTGCCGCTGATGATGCGACGCAAAACCCCTCCAACTGCAATCGGCCGTTTTTTCTCTCCCAGCGCTGAAAGGTTGGCACTGCTGTGTGTGTGTCCCGCTCTCACCCAGCACCGGCTCTCACTTTCTTCATTTCTCCCCGCGACCTGGACCCGTACCCCTACCCCCGCCTTCAATGCATTTTGTTTTCTCTGCATGTATCGCACTTCTCCAGTGCGAGCCCCCTCCTTTTCAGTCAATCCGGAGATCATCGCCGGCCTGTCAGCGGCAGCGGCTCGTACATCATTTGCCTCACGCACCCGGCGTGAGTTGGAGGAGACTTCGCACATTCAAGGCCGGAAGACGAGGGGAGTGGTGGTGTGGGTATCATTTGCAGAACCATCTGCTGCCGAGTGGAAAGGAAGCGAGCCCGAGGGCCGACACACGGCAGCATTGAGTGCGCCTTCTCCAGGGGGGAGATAGGGTTCTGCTCTCCTTCGGCGATCCAAGCGGGAGGAGTTCGGAAGCGCGGAGGCGGGGGGGGCGCCCTTGCCGCAAGCTCGGCGACATGGGTCGCACTCGCGGTCGCAGCGGGTGAGAAAGAAAAAACGTGGAGTCCAACGGTGTTATTTTGGTGCGCCAACTAACGTCGGGTTTCGGTGGGCCCGCACCACAACGCGCACCAGGAATCTTTCCATCTTCGTGTGTTTTTCTTGCTCACGTTGTGTCTTCAGTTTTTCTACTTCGACCCTTCTTCGGTACATGCAGCAGCCGTTTGAACCCCTCCGTTGACTGCTCGAACTGCCGGAGACAAGGGTATGCGGCGAGGGTCACGACCCGCTAAGTCCTTCCTTGTCCTGCGGCCTTTGATAGTTGGCTGGCTGAGTTTGGTCGCACAACAAGTCACCCCTCTCACACTGCTGTCACTTTTGTACATTGTCGTCGGCGCTTTTCCGACTGCGGGACTGCTGTACGCAGATTCATGTGTTGTGGGGCTTATGAGCCACAACGGCTACTGCAGCACCAGAAGTAGATTGTTCGGGAGTGGCACCTCTAGCGTGCGCACCACCATGTACGGGTTCACGATAATCACGCCTCTCGCAGAGAAGGAAGGCGGGCTCTCGACAGAGCGAAAAAAGTCTTGCCACCAATGACGAGGCTCTTGTCTGCGTCTGTGCAACTGCCGGGCATTTGGTTGTAGTGTTGGTGGCCCTTGAGATCATCACAGCAGTCATTTGATGAACCGAACGAATCAGATGAAATAGCAATGTTCTTTCTCCTCTTCTACGAAGTATTTTTCATTGAAAAGCCACTCCCTGACTTCGTTGTAAAAGGGTCCTTGGTTGTGCGAAAGAGGGGGTAGAAAACAATTCTGGGTCGCGATGATGGTTACCTTCGTCTCCTCTCGCTTGTGTTCGGTGCGTAATAATCTATCTTACCTTCGACAGGCGGTAGTAAATAGAAGTACATTTTTGCTCTTGATACCATCTTTAGTGTCATGTGGTCGGAACCACAACTGGTTGATTGTTGAGTGTGTGCTACTATTTGCGGCACTAGCCGCCCTGCATCGCATCCTATAGGCAAGCCTGCATCTTGCCTTACCCTGCCCGGACAAGATCGGTAAGCTTGTGTCGTACACAATTGTAAAGCTGAAATAGAAGTGGCCCTTGCGCGCACACCCAACTCCACACGCTCCGATAGAACAAATAAAAACAAGTAATAGTCCCCACATCCCCAACCCCAAAAGTTCTCGGAACAAGTTGTTCTGTCTTGCCTTGTCTGGAAATAGCGAAAATAGGAGCTGCGCAGCCACACACGTACGCACGGTCTTTGGCGTTCATCTTCCCCTTGGTTGGAATTGCGCATGGTTGGTATCCCGGTGGCCCTTTGGCCAGGTAGCGCTATTTGGCCGTTTCGTTTTCTGCTCTTCTCCCTCTGCTACCCACTGACTGTTGGATTTAAACCCGTCTCCTCAGGTTTGGTCCTCTCTCTTTATCCGGGTACAAATGTTCTTTTTTGCTGGCTGCTTCCACTCTGCTCGTTTGTGGTGGTCGCATTGGTGCCTTTGATTTTCGAAAAGAAAACCACCGCTCACCGGATTTTTTTCCACGCAGCAGCTGTAGAGCTGAGTTCGCACAACACACACAAATTCTGACCAGAACAAACACACCAAAAATGCAGGTGTGCGCCGCTCAGTCTGGGATTGGCAGGTGCTTCTATAATATTCAGAGCACCGAACAAAGAAGTGCATGCTTCGAAGTATTACGTTGATGAGGCGTTGGGGTCGGACAACGAAAGTTCGAGGTTGGGTTGGTTTTTGTTCTGAACGAGGCAGGGAGTGGAAGTTGGCGGGGGGTGCATCCAGATGCGTCGTCATGAATATGTGGTGGTATCTCCGATCCTCGAGAACTGCTGTTGCTGTCGGTCAGCGTATTTCGTTTGAAGACGCGTGGCCGGCCCATCCGCGCGCACGGCGGTATCTCCTACTTGTTTGGTAGATTTGTTTGTGGGTGATCGCGAACAGTGGCAAAGTGGCTTGTAGCGTCAACCTCGTTTCTCTACTAGAGTACTGCTGCTGCAATTGTTTTTTGTCATGCAATGGGGCTCGTTTTGTTACCGAAACCACGCCCTTTGTGCGGCCCGAGACTTGTTTTTTCTTGCGGGGGCTGCTGCTCCTTCTGAACCGTACGCAAGTCGGCTTGCGCTCATAACAATGTGGTATGATAGTGTGAAAGGTAGAAGCAACGATATCCGGCAGGAGGGTCCACGCGTTACTGCTATTATAGTACATTTACTACTGTCCCCCTAAATGCTTGCGTGTCTACGCTCGCCCCAGGCCGAACCCCTTGCCCTTGAGCAGTGGCCAAACCGTCGCTCCCCACACTAATACAAAGAGAAGTAATTTACTGCTGTCTGACGTTCGGTTGATGAATTGTCGGGAAGAACAGAGTCACATGAGTGTACCGTTACGACAGCTGTAACGATGAGGTGTCTGTTCTGTTTGTTTCTTGGGCGGTTCCCCTTGGTATTGTCCATCTGCACACGCACCCTTGGGGCCTTCTCGTCTCTCTCGACCTCTCTCGCCCTCTCTCTCGACCTTTCTCTCAACATCTCTCTCGACCTCTCGACCTCTCGCGACCTCTCTCGATGCCGTTTATTCTCCCCGCTCCCATACAGCAGAGCCAGAGCTCCAACCAGCTCGCGAGTTCGCTCGTCCTATTTTTCATGTCGAAGTTGAGACGGGTGGAGGGGCGGTGGGGTCGGGGGGTGTTCTGTTTGGCGGAACCAGCACGGAGCCCCCGAAGAACGGAAATCGAAATTCTCAAAAGCAAGTTGGGGCTGTAATTGATCTCCGAAATACCTCTCTCTTGGCTGCAGCAGACTATCGCTCTCTTGCTTGTTTGGGGCAGACCAGCACGTGCACTCACGACAACCTCTGCCTCACTTCCGATGCTCCATGCTGCTGCCTTCTGATTGGTCAATCGGTGTTAGTTCCCCCGCTCCTCATAAAGCTCAAGTTTCGGCCCCTTCGTCTCTTCAATCTTCTGCGTTCACGAGTTAATGCTCGGATTTGCACTTCACGTAACCTTACTTGGGGCGTGAGAGGACCTACCACAGCGGGGTCACTTGAGCTGTAGCGGGTCTTCGCCGTTGAGGGTTTTAATGCGGTGTGGGTATCATTCCTCTCATGTCTTGCTCCGTCGTGGTGCACGTGTATTGTAAATAGGGAGGCCCCGTTTCCTTTCGCCGCACATGCCTTTGCTGTGGATTGTATGCATCTAACAAGTCAGTCACGGACAATCCCGCGACCTTGCTCAACCGGCCGATTGCCCACGCACAACTATAGTGTACCGCGGCTTGCTGGTATGGACGAAAGTGAAAGAGGAGAGCGCACAAGCAAGCTATTAATACAGCAGTTCTAGCGGCAGTTCAGAAACGAATGCGTGAACGTCACAGAAAGACCGCCCGTGTGAGATTTCTTTCTACGCCAAAGCGTGTTTCATACAATCACGGAAAAGACTATCGGTCCAACTTGACCCCCAAGGGTGCCCTTCAATACGTAGCATGCAGATATTCCCGCACAACCAGATATATCCCACATACACCCGCCTCCTCTCGAGACAAATACTTGTACCATATATGATCAACATCAAGTTGACAGCTGAAATTAGGGACCAACCGTTCATTCGACAAGTATGTCCGCTTCTTTTTTTCTCGGGGTATCTTATGTTTCGCCGCATTTTCGGGTCCACGGCCGACATCCACGCGGTGTCTGCGCCATGTTTGTACGCACAGTATTGTTGTGTGCGTTGCTACGGGCCATGGCCGCAAGATATTTCTGTTCCAACAACGGCGGGGTGGTGGTGTCGAGTAGCGCACCTACGGGGTCGTGACACACCGGCAGTGCCTGCTGCAGTCCGAGGCACCTGAGGCGAATACTGTATTTTTTCGGCACGGCACCTGAGTTCCTTGGATAGAGATGGATTCGTTGTGTCGAGGTTAAGAATAAAAAGAAAGCGAGATGTGCATGCGCTTGGGCGGGCGTATGTTGGAGTAGCCCCAGACGATTGAACAAAGGAAAGCTGGTGTTTTGTGGGGCGAGGACTATGTGGAACGACAGTGGTGTACGGGACGAAATTGCTCAGAAGTTTCAGCGGGGAAAACTGGACAGGCGGGGGGCAGTGGCGTTCGCAGCAGCAGCAGCAGCAGCAGAGAGTTAGTCCACACTTTTCGGCGGCTGCTGCTCTGCTGCTGCTCCCACCAGGTGACAAGATTAAGGTGTGACAGATTGCTTGGTTGCAGTCCTGTTGGGGCGAGAAGCACCAGGGCCCAGGAGATAGCTGCAGTTTACCCGCGGTTGGTATGCTCAACGTGGGGATCTACAACGAGCAATGAAACTCGAGAGCCGCGGGCAAAACATCCACGAATTGATTGATCGGAGGACCGGATATTCGAACCGGCAACCTGGGTTTTCGCCCCCCCCAACGGGTTGTCGGTTTGTTGTTGGGTTGTCGATGGACGCAGGAACAAAGCTTAAGGTTGAATTCAGGACCGGGGACATAGGCCTTCGAGAAAGTCGACGAAGACATAGGACGGTAGACGACGAAGACGACCTGCTCAAATGTGATTGCGGCTTCGAAATCGAAGACCGTGTTCATGTAGTGTCCGTTGTACAAGAAGGAGAGGGAAGTGTACGTGACTGAGCTGGGAAAAATAGATGGAACGTACAGGGAGATGTTATATGCATGGAATAGAGAGGAAAGGACGGTAGCTGTACTGGGGCATAGGAGGTGGGTTGAAAAGGCGGGAAGGGATATCGTTAGGATAGACAGACTAGGAAGACATTTTTGAGCCACATTTGGCAAAGTAGAAAGGAACGATTGGCCATCGGTGATCGGACCTGTGGGAACAATGCTCCGTCCTCTCGAGGACGCGTGGTCAATGGTCCAACCGCTAAGACATGCAAAACATAAGAGTACGCCCGCCCCCGCCCCCCCCCAACGGGTTGTCGCACCCACCCCAGCACGCAAGCAAGGAAAGCCGTGATTTGATAAAGCGATCGCACCCCGCCGTGGCCCTAGTAGCACTTACGACGGCGGTATTAAATATGCGTCACTGCGGGCGGGTGCACGTGCCTTTTTTGTTTCATGTGCGTGTCACCACAGAGGGGCTACCAGTTTGAGATGGTTCTCAAGAGGGTGTATTTTTTTCATGAGTGAGGAAACGACCACAAGCACGTCGCCTTTTCCCGTCCTCTATTCCCGTGTTTGAGCAGTCAGTCGAGTTAGTTATTCGCACGCGCCCCCCCCCCCCCCCCCCCCCCCCCCCCCCCCCCCCCCCCCCCCCCCCCCCCCCCCCCCCCCCCCCCCCCCCCCCCCCCCCCCCCCCCCCCCCCCNTTTTCGTGGCATCGTTGTTCACACACGGGAAAAAAATACATCGATAAACAAATGAAGGCACCTGCCGGCACCTGTGGCATCGGTACTGCAGTCCCCGAAGGACACTCCACTGGAGTTCTTCCAGGACGGGAACCGGCCGCTGTCGGCGCGCATGAGTGACAAGCCCGGGGGCGCCTTCTCGGGACTACGCTCGACGTCCTTCTCGATCGCCAGGGGCCCCGCGCGCTCCCGCGTATCCTCCATCGAGGAGGAGGACAGGCGGGCGGGGAATCAGCCGCTCGTGTCGCAGTCGTACTCCGGCGGGTTCGGGAGGTCGGAGAGCTCTCTCGGGGTCGGCGGCGCGATATCCTCGCGCAGGATAGCCGGCAGCCGGTCGGCGGACCGCGACGGGATGGTCGGCGGCGGCGGCAGCCGCGGGCGCAGCGGCAGGGGGGAAGACAACTTCCGGCGCGCCGGCTTGGGCGGCGGCGCCGGCCGCAAGAGCAGGAGCCGCAGCGGCAGCAGCAGGGGCAGCAGGGGCGGGGGCGGCGGGAGCGGGAGCGGGGCGGCAAGCACGAGCAGCGGCGGGTCGACCGCCGTCGTGGGCGACAGCAGCAACGGCACCCACTGCGTACGCGGTAATGGCGATGGCGGCGGGGGCAAGAGCCGGAAGGCGAAGAGCAGTAGCAAAAGCGGGCGTACTCGCGGTGGCGGCGGCGGCGCGGGCGCAGGGTTCGGTAGCGACGACGACGACGACGACGACGACGATGATGATGACGACGACGGCGAAGGCGGCGCCGTTGCGGCGGCGCCCCCCCCGGCGAACCGGACGCACGCCATGTACCGGCACCAGGCTGAGAGCGTCGGCACCGCGCTGCACGCGATCGATCGTGTCCAGACCATTTCGGCTGCCAAGAGTCAGCGGCCCGGGGCAGCCGCCGCCGCCGCCGCCGGCCGGCTGCCCGGCGCTAGCGCGGCAACGGCGATCGGTAGCCGCCGGTCGTCGCACACTGGGTCCGTCGGCGTCGGCCGCAAAGGCGGCAGCGGCCCCATCTCGAACGGCGGCGTCGGGAGTGCGCGGGTAAGCGCGGAGGCTGCCGCGAACGGGAACGCCGCCGTCGCCGCCGTCGCCGGGACGGCGCTCGTCCGGCGCGTCTCCACCGGCCAGCTGAACAACATGGCCTCCACGGGGTCGAACTTCGAGTCCATGACGACCATCGGCACCCCCAGCGGCTCCGGCGGCGGGGTTAACTCGATATCGAGAGGTCTGGCGCGCGCGGCGGGTCTGCGTTCCGGCAACGATGGTCTCGGCCGTGCAAGGTACAGCGGTGGCCTGATTGTTTTGTTTTTTTGTGGAGTTGACGGCCCAGGGATACCGCGGTTGGTCTGTATTGGTCGTGTGTTGTCGACTTTTCCTCGAGGCTGCTGGTGCTCTGTTCTGTGGTTTGAGGGAGGTCGTACATTTTCACGTGTGCGCGCTTTCACTGTTGTGGGCTGACGTTATGTACCACCCTCCCGCCATTTTTTTCCGCCGCTCTCGTCACCACGGCCTTCCTCTCTGGCTAGACACAGCGCGTCTTCGAACAACCTGGCCGTCTCCAACGGCGTCGGCGGCGCGATCGCCGACAAGCGGGAGCTGCCTACCGACCTCCGATCCGCGATCGAGGCCGGAGACGTCCTGGCCGTGGGCTCGATGGTGCGGACCATGAGCCAGGAGGAGGCGGAGGTTGAGCTCGTCGCCCAAGACCGGTGAGACAAGTGTTGCGTTTTGTTTTTTGCTCTCATGTGCTGCGTCGCTGTCAATGGGAAACTGCCGTAATCTTCTTGAACGAGAGACGCTCCCTACTCTCGCCGCTATTACGCGTAGTGCGTTGTCTGCGTGTTGACCTAGAATGGGAGAACGGGAACGGGAAGGTGCTGGTGCCACATGGTCGTAGAAGGGGGTTGCAGGAGGCGTCAATGGTTGCAATCGCGAGAGAAACACGAGGTTGTGTATCGTCTGTCAGCGCCCGCTGGGTGTACGTCATATTTGTACACATCTCTCTCTGTTTTGTCTGACAGGTGCCTGGCTGACAGAAGCTCGTTTGTTCCCCGTTTCTTTTTTTCCGTTTATTCCTTTTCCAGGGAGCAAGGCACGCCGTTGATGCAGGCCGCGGCGGGCAAGAATGTCCAGACGTACACAGCCGTGATGGATGCGATCAGGAGTCGTCTCGGGGTGGAGGCGCTGGTGAGTCAGGGTGGAGGTACTGTTGGTACGCTGCTGCTGCTGCTGCTGCTGCACCGGCTTATTTTTTTGTTGCAGGCGTTTGAACGTCCAGTGGTGATTGTGGTTTGCTACAAAGCTGCTGCTTGCTGGTGCTGGTGATGCTACGGCTCTTTCGTTTGCTGCGTGTGTTGTCGTCTTCAGATGAACGAGCTCCAGGCGCGAGACCTCCGCGCGTGGTGCCCCTTGATGCACGCCGCCTGGAGCGGGAGCGCAGAGGTGTTTCGTGCGGTGGTTGTCGCCATCGAGGACAACCTGGGAAGAGACCAGGTGCGTGAAAAGCCGGGCAAACCTGTCGGCGGAACTATATTCGGTCGTGTACAGGGACCATGACCATTGCTGAATAACAGTTTTGTTGTTGACCTTTTGGGTTTGTTGTATGTTACAACATTGGCAGCGTTCCACCCTAGTTTTTTACGCGATTGTATTATGTCATCTGTTAGAACAAAGGTTTCCGTCAAAGTTGTTTAGTTGTACGCTAAACATGGTGGCATCTGTTGCAACAATGGGACCTTTGCAGCCTTTCATTTGTGCACGCGTATCATGGCTTCATCTGTTTCAACAATGGCAGCTTTCTTGGCTCCCAGTCGTTTGTATACGCGTGTATCATGCCATCATGTATTGCAACAACGACAGCTACCCACCCTGTCGTTCGTGGAAGACTTTGTTTGGGTCGCGATATTTCACCCCTGTTGTTGTGTTTGGATCGTATCCTGGCCTTTTCAGGTGGCGGAACAACTGGCGGCGACGGCAAAGTACGGCTGGACCCCGCTCCACGCGGCGGCCCGCGGAAACGCCGAGGCTATGGGCGCCGTCATGACCGCCCTCGTCAACTACATGGAGGCCGACGAGGTGTGTATGTATGTGTACACGGGATAATACGTGACAAGGAACAAAACAAGACCGAAAAACGCCAACTACCAGTTCAGTACATACAGCACATGGACCATAACATCTGGAAGGACACAGCCTAAGGAACAAGTGCAACAACAAAACGCTTGCTACCGGCGTACAACCATGTATTTTTACGGAAGTCCACGTGGCAGGACACAAACTAAACAGAAAATGATCTGCGTCCATATCGCTAAGCGTGCTGCTATCATACTGCAGCTTGCCGCCTCCCGCCTTCATTTTCGCGCCTGAAGAAGGGCTTGTCATGATCTCGCCACTTTGCGTGCCCCCACCCACCGGGGTGATTTTCTGTTCCGGCTTCTGACATTGTGCCATCCACCTCCATCAGACATTGTGACATACACCCCACGCCGCCCTCTGGATGCGTCGTCTTGCCCTCGCAGCTGAAGGAACAGCTGTCTCAGTCTCACGACAAGGACTCTGATCTGCCGACGCCTCTTATGTTCGCGGCGGCCTCTAGCTCGCTCGACTCGCGCAGCCTCAACCCCCTTCTGTCGGAGTTGCTCGGATGCATGTGCGACATCGACGAAGCCCGCCGGCAAAGGTGGGTGCCGTCTTTGTTGGGGTTGTTGCTGATTGTGATTGATGGCCGTCATGATGACGATGGCGTCGTGAATGTTCCATGTGTTGCTGCTGATTGTGATTGATGACCGTCGTGATGACGATGGCGTCGTGAATGTTCCATGTGTTGTTGCTGATTGTGATTGATGGCCGTCGTGATGATGATGGCGTCGTTGATGTTGTTGGTGATGACCAAGCCCGCCAGGGGGGTGCGTTGTGTTGTGTATCGTTGCTTATGATGGTCGTCGTGGCGATGTCATCGTCTCGTCATTGCTCATGTTGATATTTAAGAATCCCGCGGGCAAAGGAAAGGCATAAGTGCCGTTATAGTGTTTTGCTGTTGTTGATGGTGGTGATAGTGGTGATGGTGTTGGCTTGTCGTTGTTGGTGATGATTGTGGCGATCTTGGTGGCGATCGTGGTGATCGTGACGTCATTGTTGATCGAGCGGTTGGTGATGGTGATGGTATTGTTGTAGTGTCAGTGATGATTACGTTGATGTTGGTCATGGTGATGACGATCATAATGCTTTGTTTCGTATCCCGGAACCTCTCAAGCTCGTTTAGATTGTAAACTGATGTTCGATTTTTTCGTTATGGGTTCGAAGGTCAAGAAAGAGATGCCCACCGATGAAAGTGTGCAAGGTAAACCCCCAATACAAACACGAGCGCCTCTTCTCATGCAAAACCGATCACTCACTCCCTTTCTCCTCTCGGTGAAACCGCCGCGGTGTTGTTTGGCGCAGGACCGCTGTTGACTACGCCGCCGCCTACGGGCGTTTGGACACGCTTAGCTGCCTGATAGCCTACGGGTGCGAGATCAGCGACCAGACGGTGACGACCCTGCTCTCGGGAGATCTGGCGGTGGGGGCGGCCGCGTTCAACCGGTGCATCTGGAAGGGCATCACCACAGCGAGGTTTGTACTGTAGTAGTGCCTGGGACGGGATCAGAGGCCGCCTCGAAAAATTAAGTTGCATCGCGAACCGCTGCGTACCCGGGTGTTGAGCTTCGATGCAAACATACAGCATCGTGTTGCTGACGTCTCAGACCGCAACTATGCGGCACAGCGGCAGGACAGGAAAGAACCAGCGTCGTTGATTGGTGGGTCCAACGTACCCCCTTGCCAAGACGAGCGCTCTCGAAAGGCTGTCATCTGGCTCACCGCTCCTTTGTTTTTCACACCCTTGTGTCCTCCCTTCCTCCCCTTCGATGAGTACCCCCCCCCGCCGCCTGTCATTTTGTTCCCTGTTGTGTCTTGTCTCTGGGTTCGTTTTGCATTTCCTCCTTCCATCCAGGAATCCGCTCATTCCCGCCCACAACGTACTGAGGGCGGTGAGCCGTGCGGCGGACAGGGATGCGAAGCACCGGCAGTTCTTGCTTCGCATGCAGGTTTGGCTTCGGACGGAGTGCTAAAATTGATGGATAGGATCGAACCGGATGGGGTTGGGATGATGTTGGAATCGAATGAGATACCACGGCCACCGTGGTCTACGTCCTCGAGATTACTCAGACCGGAGTCGCGGGTCATTTCACCCTCGAAATTGGCGGTTGTTGGACATCCCACGTCACCCCGACAAGTTGGTTTTATTTCACGCTGTGGCGGTTCGAATGCCCAGCGGTCCTCCTTTGGTACCCAAAACTAGCACAGCAGCAGTGGCGTCATCATCACACGGCCGCCTCCGTAGCCCGCATAATTCTGAGTGATGTGAATCTGGTGCAAGAAACCATGGCCGTTCCCCAAATGTTTCGTCTTCTCGAGGACGCGTGGTCAACAGTCTAACAACTTACATACTCAAACCATGTTGAGGACGCCGCCCCCCTCAATCGCTCTCAAATTTCCCCACAAAATTTGTACACACGCTGCCCTGATCCCCCCTTAACCACGACAGTCCGATGTCGACGAGCTGGTGCAGGAGATGCTCCAGCAGCTGCCGCCCAACATGGCCGGCTTCGCGGACAACTACATGGACACCGGGCAAGGTTTCGAGGCCGTGCAGTGGCTGCTCGAGCCCGAGATGGGGGGCAAGCGCATCAGTTCATTCACGGGGCCCCTGGCCAGGGCGCTGGAGACCCGCCGCCTGGAGTTCTTCTCGACCAACATCGTGCTCGCCTACGTGTCGCGAAAGTTTTCCAGGGGCCTGCCAGGCGTGTTCAGCGGCGCGAGCTGGAAGATGCCCGACATGCACAACAGGGACACCAGGAGGTTTGTGCTCGGGCTGCCGTACGGGGCCGCGCCGGACAACGTGGTCGGCGCCGTGAGGATGAGGCTCTGCGTCCCCTTCGAGCTAATTCAGGTGCGTGTGTGGTGGTGGTTTGTGCTGCGCATGTTTGGGACAGTTGGAAGGAATATGATTCTTGGCACCACAGATGACGTTGCCAAAGTTTCCTGTGTTTGGTTTTTGACTAGGGTTAGAGGGTGAATTGGTCCTCTACGTACATTGAGCGCGTAGCCGTTTTCGGGAGGGTGAGGTATCTTGCCACTGCAAGGCAGGTACATAAAATGCGCACATTGTGTGTTTGGCTTTCAATATGTCATGTTAATGCCCGTCACTTTTTTGTGTCAACGCACGTTGTTTCATGTTTTGTTGCGGCGTGTGTTCGGACAATTATTGTTGTCGCTGGTTGCGTCTCGAGCAGGGAAGCGCCTTGCGAAGGACGTCGCTGATTCCGGGACTGCAGTTCAACTGCGTTGGTCTGGCGAGCCGGCCGGACGCGTTCTACGAGGTTCCGGCGGTCCGAATGGCCTGCGATGTTGTCACCTACCTGTGAGCATCGTGGCGTTACATGTTGCTGGTGCTTGTTGTTGTTGTTGTTGGTGTTGTTGACCTTACATCCTTCGGTGTTGCTCTGCCTGGTTTGTCCCTTAATTCTGTCGTGTGGTGGTGTTTGTTTTGGGTCAGTTCGACGATATGTCGTCAGGTTCTTGTTGTTGGGTTCTTTTGGCGCGGTGCTGCCCTGGCGAGTTTGTTCCGAGCGGGGGGGGGGGGGGGGNACCAGGCTCTCACATCACCAAGCGCGAAGCACCGTGAGGTATTCGGCGAGTCGCATGAAGGGTGCGCTGCATCCTGGGAAGGGTGTTCGGCATCTTGTGCTTACTTCCTTGCGTACAGATGACAGCTGCCCTGCCCAGGACTTAGTTTATTTTCTGGTGCCTTCACTTCCAGAGAAAGTTATAAGCACCGTGTAACTGCCTCGAGGGTGCTTGACCATCATAACACAACGTGTTGCGATCATCCCTCTTGCGCGGAGTGAGGCTTCTCCACCCCGCACAATATGATCTACACGACCACCATTATGGTTACCGCCAAAAAAAAGAGGTAAAAAAAAATCGGTAACCTGGTTGCCGAGTTCACCAAGTGAAGTGGCTTGTTTTACAACGTCGATGCCAAGCGACGAAAACCCAATCCCGATGGCAAGCACCGAGGGGGGGTTCCGAGCGGGAGGGGGGCTCATTGAAGTCGGCGTTACGATGGCGGTGGTATTGTTGGTTCTATGTTACTGCGTACCACGCTATCAGCGCCGCGTTTTAAGTCGGAGGACGTACCAACCGGGGTCACACAGGAGGGTATCGTGTGTCGTTTGCTTTTCTTCCTGTGGGTGTGCCCTGCCCTGGATGCTTGCCGATTGGCTGACGCCCTTCGTGTTGTAGTACTTTCGAAAGTCAACTCTCTCTCTCTTACGAGTTAGCCCTTTCTCTGTTGCGCGTGTCCGGACTAGGTCCATGCTTATTCTCTTCTGCTTCGTGGTAAAACTGGAGTCACCCACGAAAATACCCGCCAAGGAAGTGGCGTTTTACGTCTACATGCTGGTGAGCGGGGTACACGTTGAGAGAGGCGGGAGAGCGATGCTTTCGACACCTTGCTTACTTTCACCGATCGTCGATGGGTACCTACCACGTTTGCGATATTCACTCGAAAGATCAATTTCGCAGCGCTTTTTTGCTTCCTGTGTTGTTTTACAACCACCTTCGTTCCTCTTTGCGATGTCCTCGTCTACAAGCCGATTGTTGACCGGTCCGCGACAGGTGGTGCCCTTTCGACAGATGAATGGCTGCTTTAGTTTTTTTTTTTTTCCTGCATGTCGTCCTCCACTCCGTTCGGTCTCTCGTTGCGATGCTCATGTCTACAAGCCGTCATATCCTTCGTGAATCAATCCCGCATCAGTGGCCGAACAAATAATAACTTCGGCCTCACCCGCGGTTTCTCTTTTCAAGATTCTAGCTTCATCGTCTGAATCACTTCATACACCCCGCGCCTCGCCAACCTATAGGGAAACATGGTGAACGAACTGGGAGAGGCCCGGTACGTGCGGAAGCTGAGGGGGCAGTCTGAGCTGTGGAACGTGGTCGAGGCCGTGCTTCTCGGACTTGTCTGCGCGGCGTTCACCTTCCGTATGGTTGCCTTCGGAAGCGACGTGATTGAGGTGCAGGGGGGGG